ACTTGCCAGCCTTCTCAGACTTGCGCTCAGCGTACATCTCCACCTCGATGACGTATCCAGAGGTGTTGGTGATGATCACACGGAGTGGGTAAGGAATGCCCGTCTGAGGGTCAGTCACAATGATACGGATCTCAGCACCAGTGACACGGAGGCGCCAGAGTCGTCGACCGAAACGCTCCAAGAAACCGCCAATGGCCTCTTCAACCTCGGTGGGGTTCAGAGGGAAGACGTGGGAGAAGTTGATGAAGATGTGGTTCATGTCAGCTTGCGAGGTGCCAACAATCTCCAATGCATCCAGAATGTCAGTCATCAACCTATCCGTCTCAGAGATCATGTACTCAGCGGTAGGAATCTCCTCCCGAAGACGGCCAGATCGGACGACCGCCCTCAAGAAGTAGCGCTTGTCACTCTCGGCACCCTTGCCAATAGCCTCATAAATGTGGATATTGCGGTTTTCCGTGAAGACTGGCTTGATGTTGAACTTGGAGAGTCTGCCAAGCTCAAGCTGGAAGGCAAGAGCAGGCTCGACGTGACGGATACTGGCGTCTTCCTCGTAGTTGGGTCCACGGAAAGTGTAGTAGCCGGGGTATGTTCCGTCCTTGTGACCGCAGATGAAAGAGATGCGGCGGATACGGCGCGACAAAAGCTCCGTCTTAAAGTCCTCGACAATAGGCAGGATGCGGTCGAGGATCTCCTTGTCGTCGTTGCCCTCGATGTCGCGGACAGCAACGTTGAGAACACCAGTGAGCTCATCACTGTGCTTGGGCTCGTTGACACCAGTGGTAGGGGTGCGCTTCATTGTCAGGCCCTCCCTCAAGCCAGTACCAGCCTTCTTCTCCTTGCCAGGGTTGGGGAAAATGTCCAAAGCCTTGCTGATGAGCTCGTCGGCATCATCAAGGAAGTCGACAGGGACGACAACACCCTTCCTGGTGGGCTCACCCTCGAAGCGGTTTTGCCATGCGGTCATGTCGCTCAGGGACTGGATGCGAGGCGGGCGCTCAAATCCTGGGGTGCTTGGTGTGCCAGGCTCTGAAGGCTCTACGGCGAGACCGTACTCCGCCTCACCGACCTTGCGGAGGATGAAGTCCCAAGAAAGGAAGCATTGCTGCTCGCCCTCATTGTGATAGTTGATGTTCTGGAGTTGGTACGCACGGTAAGCACGGCGAGTGTACACCTCCAGGGCAGCAAGAGCAACCCAGGGGTCAGAGTGGACGAAGAACTGGGTCAACACGTCAAAGACAGTGTACCTAGAATCGACAACCTCCTTGATGACCTCAAAGTTGGGCTCACGGTGGTCCCATCCGCTCTCGCCGTAGCGAGACTCGACGACGGAAGAGCGCAGGATGTGCTCCATCTGTGCTGTACGCTCCTCAAGCGAGGGCATAGCGCACTGAATGAGGACCTCACGAGCCTTGAGGGAGACCTTGGCAGTCTGCCTGGATTCGAGCTCAGTAAGCTTCTTGAGGATGTCCTTGAAGTACTTGGACACATTGCCGACACCGGGCTTGTTAGGTCGGTAGAGGTCAAGGATGGCAATGACGAGGTTGTTCTTAGCGCCAACCCTGGTGTGCGACAGGACAGTCTGGACAACGCTGGTGATGTTGTCACGGTTCTCGTCACGGAGCTTGAGGATAACTTCCTCGTCACGCGATGTGCGAGACGAGAAGAGCGACTCAGTAGCCCAGTACATCTCCAAAAGCTTGATCATAACACTGTACTCGTGTGCCTTGAGACCCTCAGAGTAGCGGTCAATGACATCAGCCAGAGGCGCCAAAGAAGCCTTGAGCAAGGCAACGTCGCCCTTGGCTACGTTCTCCTCTACGAACTTCTGGAACGCCTTGTTGAGCGCCTTACTAGGGAACTCAAGGTTACGGCTGTGCGCCTTGTCGACAATCTGGGAGAAGGTAGCATCGAGCTTCTGTGGCATACGGGCATGAAGAGCAGACGCCTGGGCGCTCCACTCGCCATACGGCAGCTCGGGATCCCTGAGGACATCGACAAGCTCCTTGAGGGTGCTCTGCATGATGACCTGGTTGTCGAAACCCTGGAAGATGTTCTCAAGGATGTAGTATAGGTAGTTGAATCGCTGCGGGGGCTTGGCTCCGGGCACTTGAGGTGCACCAAGGTCGGGAAGCTGGCCGGTGAAGTTCTGGGCAGTCTTGACCCTGGATGGGTCATCGAGAGCCAGGACAGCGAGAATGTCACCAGCCTCGAGAGTGGCTCCTGGCTGCTTGATCAGGTTGACCATACCGGCCTCCTGTGCGATCAAAGGCATGTACATCTTCATGACCTCAACCTCAGCAAAAGGTTGGCCCTTGTCAACGTGCTCGCCGTTCTCGACAAGGAACCTGACGAGCTTACCGGGCGATGGGGTTCGCAGTTGAGTGGGGTCATTCTCTTGCTCAAGCAGACAAGTCTTGCCGTCAACCGAGAGACGGGTGGCGCCGACTTCCTCCTTCCAGTAGACGTTGTGCGACTTTCCGCTGAGCAGGATCAAGAGACCGCCATCGGCAAGTGCCCTAACACCGACCGAGCACTTTGTTCCGTTGATGAATAGAGTGAAGCTGTCAATGGTCGATTTGGTAGCGGTAAACTTGTATCGGTTGCCCTCGTAGATGAAGTCGATAGGGAAGACTGTCTTGAGCACATCCTTTGACGGGACCTGGCCCTTTTGCAGACTGGCCGTGTATTCACCGATGCATGCTTCGCTTGCAACGTGAGCCTTGGTAACAGCACCGCAAATGACAGCAATCATGGTGTCCGGTCGCTCAGCAGTCAGCTTCTTGGAAATGAGCTCGTCGAGCCAGCCAGTTGTGATGGTGTTTTCCTCGAAAGCAGGTGTTTCGAGCAACTTGATAAGATACTCAACGGTTGTTCGGAAATCACCACGAATGCTCAACTCCTTGAGCGCAACAACCATGTGCTTTCTCGATGCTTGTCTGTTCTCGCCATAAGCGAAAATGTGGCCAAACTGGGAGTCAGAGAAGCTGTGAATACCACCAGCAGAGCTGACGGAGAAGTAACCCCAGACGTTGGAGCTACTCCTGAAGTTGAGGTCGTGAATGGTACCACCAGATGGCTTGAAGCCCTCATCGGGATCTTCAGAAGTGATACGGCAGGCCGTGCAGTGACCCTTAGGAGTAGGTCGTCGCTGGCTCTTGGCGCTGCCTTCGGTGGAGAAGTCAAAGTCGATGACAGAGCTGGTGTGGGGATCAGCGCCGTACAGGAGACGAATGTCACGGATACGGTGCAATGGGAGACCCATGGCAATCTGGAGCTGGGCGGCTGGGAGGTTCACGCCCGTTACCATTTCCGTGGTAGGGTGCTCGACTTGAAGACGAGGGTTCAGCTCTAAGAAGTAGAACTTGTCGTCAGCGTGAGAGTAGAGGTACTCGACGGTACCCGCAGAGACGTATCCGACGAGCCGTCCGAGCGAGACGGCAGCCTTCTCCATCTCCTGGAAGGTCTTTGAGCCAGCAACTGTTACCGGTGCCTCCTCAATGATCTTCTGGTGTCGTCGCTGTACCGAACAGTCACGTCCGAACAGCGAAATGTTATTGCCGTACTGATCAGCCAACAGCTGGACTTCCAAGTGACGTGCGCTGCCCGCCAACTTCATAATGAAGATGGGCGATCCAGGAATCTCAGAGGCAGCCGCCTTGTAAAGCTGCTCAAAGTCTTCCTCGCGCTCGACCTTTCGGATACCCTTGCCACCACCACCTTCTGAGGCCTTGACCATGACGGGGAAGCCAATCATCTTGGCCTTCTCAAGACCCTCTTGCCACGACTTGGTGCAACCCTTTTGGTAGACGTCGTCCTCGACTGTGACGATGCCGTTGCTGTCAACCTTGACCTCATCGACACCGGTTCCTGACCATGGAATGCATGGCACACCGGCGTGTTGTGCGACAATTGTGGAGGAAATCTTGTCACCAAGCGAGCGCATGGCGGATCCAGGAGGACCGATGAAGATGATCTTCTTGGGTGAAGCGGCAAGCGATTCGGGGAGTTTGGGGTTCTCCGAGGCGTGTCCCCTAGAAACACAATGTCAGCCCAATTTGCCCCTCCCAATTCATGTAGAGAATACGCACCATCCTGCCCACACGGCGTGGACGTTCATTCGCTCGGCCACATCGACAATGAGCTCGACGTTAGCGTAGTTGTTGTTGTTGGTACCGCCGGGTACCTGCATGTACCTGTTAGTCGGTCCTCCATTTTGTTTTGCCGCTCCCATCCCAGGTTTTGCAAGTGGCAACGTACCTCGACATATTGATCCGCCATGCGGATGTACTCTGCGTTGGCCTGGAGATCCTCAGGCGTGGCCATGACGGTGAATTGAATCGCCCGCTCATCGCCAAATGTCTCGTATGCCCATTTCCGCACCGAGCGGATCTCTTTGACGGCGGCGATACCGTTGTTCGCAATGAGAACCTGCGGAGAAAGGCCGAGTCAGCGCGCCCGAACCCCAAGCAACAATTGTTTAGCGGGAGGGATTTCTCTTACATTGGTAATGACTGTGTGTCCATCGTGAGCTGCCACAAAGTCCTTGACCTTGCCGGGAGAGGCTACGCTGAGGTTGTTGCCGCCGATAAAGTGCGGAGCAAGATCGAACTTGGCTGAGTAGGAGCTCGGGGTGCTATTGGCATCCCCATTGACTCCGTTCTGAGCAGCCCCGGCCATATTGTTTGCTGGTAATCCCATGCAACCAGGGAATTAGTTGAATGTGGAGGGAGTTGGGAGGGGAAAGTTTGGTCGGGAACTCAGGCCGGCGAGTGATCGGGTAATTTTCCACTGAGTAATGGGCAAAGCTGGAGCTCGGCCTCTAGTGTCGTAGATCTACAAATGAGACCCAACGTCGGTTGGTCTGCAGAAAAATCGGATGCACACACCCTCTTGTTTGGAGAAGGGTGCAGTTGCTGCTCTAACGACTCTGCTGGTGGGAGGATCCGAGCAGAAGGATTAGTAGATTACAGCTGGAGTATCGGAGGGGGGGAGGCCGCTCAAAAGCAATCTTCCGATACTAATTGCGTCCAAAGGTATATGTTACGGGTGCCGGGAGGAGAGCACCTGCAAACAAGGATTGGACTGTGAGGGAGAGAGTGCTGTAGGGCAAGATACAGCACTGTAGTATGTAGATATATATGGGCGTGTGTATGTATAGTGAGGTGAGTGAGACTTGAGAGAGAGAGAGAGAGAGGTAAGGAAAGAGGGAGGAGAGAGGAAGCAAAGTGAGGAAGAGGGAAACAACAGTAGTCGCAAAGTGGGCGGGCGAGGACTTGTGTCAGTGTTAATTTTTTTCCCAAGGAGGGTCGCGGAACACCCCAATGCACATCCCGAAGAGCTGTTGAGCGTGACCCGAAGCTGCACATTACCCAGCGATGCCAAACCTGGGATGGTCCTGGACCACGTACCCCATGCCGCCCCTAGCCATGTCTCGATCGCTCCCAAGCCACCGTACATGGCGGGCGTCGGAACTCGGTCGGAACTCCTTGGTGTAAACCATTCCCGACTCCGCTCGGAAAAACAAAACTCCACAACTTTTTGACGCTGCAAAATGCTCACTAGAAGATTCCATTGTGCAACTCCATGTCCGCAGAGTGGTCCTTGGCCCGACAGAACCAAGCGTGTAGTGCAAGAGGGTGGGCATTGGCCGCCATGGCGGTGCCAGCAATCGGCGTGTTGGGAGAGCCAGTTCCGAATTAGTTTGTTCTTGCGAGCGAGAGGGCCACCCGATCGCGACCTCCACTCACACTGCCCGTCCACCCCATTCACTATCTCTCAGCAAAAACAACATTATTCTCTAGGCCCATCGCGATGCCGCCCGTCCCGCTCCATTGGCCCCCACCCGCCCTCTGTCCCTGAGTTGCGGCCAAATCGCTGTCGTGATGCCTCAATGCCCCTTTGCCGTCCTCCCTTACCCCTCCCGCTCAACAAAGTCGCCCATGTTGCCCCCTTCCCCACCGATTCCTCCGATCGCCCTCTTTTCTGTTCACCGCCAGGGCAACACGCTTTCCCCACCGCGCCGCAAACTTTTTGTGCCAGCACTCCAATTGCTGTCAGACAATCTACACAGAAACTAAAACAAGACAATCAATAAACCCGCCCCGTCCGTCTTATGACCGCGGCTTTGTCTGTCACTACTTTTGGTCCTTCAATCATGATGCTCGGGTCTCGGGTCTCCTCCGGTATGTCTCTTCCATCGGACTCCGTCGCAAGCCACCCAATCAGCGCGCCCTGAAGCCCCCCCACCAACTCTCGGTCCATATCAAGAGAGACACCCTCTCCCCCTCTCCTCCTCGGAGTATATCCACTACGCTCGAAGTCAACCAGATGAATGACGCCTCTTTCTGAATGAACAAGATTACACCCTAGTGCACAAGACCAGAAAACGGTGAAAAGAAAAGGCCCTAAGTACCCCCAGACTCCCGAATGCTTCTTCCCGTGATGCGGCCGTACATGCGGCATCTTGGCGTGGGTGCCTGCAATCGCCGCTAGGCACCATCTCTCGTGTGTATTATGCGTGTGGGTAAATTGTGTGCACAAAAAACATTATTTGCTTATTGGGGGGGGAGGAGGGAGGGAGGGAAGCGGCACAAAAATACTGCCCGGGAGCATTTCTTCGGTGACCGAAAAAAAAACTCCCCAAGTAAACACGCCTACTATACAAGAGCTGCAAGTACGAAAGAGCCTTCCTTTTCCCCTATATACCCCCACTGCTCAGGCTAAAAAGAAGATATGCGAGCTAGTAAGGCGAGATTTCCGACGTGCATTCCGAAGATCCAGGGTCCTCGCGTGCACTCTTGCGTGCGTGCGTGTGTGCGTGCGTCTTTTGGCTTGCAGTTGGAAAGCGGCCAGTCCCGCGCGGTTTGACATCAGAATCGTACGATTTTTGCTTCCCGCTCCAACACCACGGCCACACACGCCCAGTGCACTCTTTTTTTGGGGCCCTTTTTACCCCAGATTTGCGAACGCTGCCTGCAACCTGGGCCCAAACAAGCACTTGAGCCGCTTTACCGCGATCAGGGCAAACGTGGGGGAGCGGCGGGAGAGGGCGCACAGGGAATAGTCAAATTTGACTGTACACCTTCTTCTTCGCTGTCTCTCTCTTTCTGCTCTGCTCTTTTCCATCCTTTGCTTTCTGCCACGTGACCCAGGTAAACCAAGGAAAACAAGACACAGAGGAGGCAAGGGGAAAACATCCCGGGGCGAAGGGTATATTTGAATTTCGACAAAGGAAAAAATTTGGTATAAGCAATATGTAAATCCCCCAAAGGGCTTGTGGCTATCGACACCGTCTTGCAATGCTCCCCTTAAATTCGACCCATGCTGCCCAAAATGCAAAGAACCACACGTCCTTTGACCAAGGGGGGGAAGCTCCAGTCTGAACCGAATCGGTGCAAGCTAAATACGGTACCTGCATCCCCCTTTCCCGTGTGCCAAACTCCAGAAACGCTAGAGGTATAGTGCCGCAAAATCATATACCGACAAAAAAGCCCAAACGCACATGCACAAAGTCCCTGCAGCCCCTGGTTTTTTTTTCGCTGCAAACGCCCGACCCGTGCCGCCCTAATAAGACTCTTCCTCAGTCTGCGTCGACATCCTCCGCAGTCGTAAGGGGAATCCCGTTTCTCCCCCATCCTGGCCTGCACTCGCTCGTCGTCCTGCGCTCGCCCGCCTTGGAATCCCCGTCGGTGCCGGGATCCCAGACTTTTCCAGTGTGGACCGTCGACCCATGATTGGTGTCGTCACCCCACTTCCATCGCTGTTGGTGCTGGCGTCATCTCGTACAGACGACGAGAGCGACTGCGAGTAACTGTGCCCATTGGAATGGCCGCTCATCGAACTTCGTGGTCTCGGTACTCGTGATTCAATTCCGCTAATCGATGACGACTGGTAGTGTCCGAGTGCGGTACGGTTGCTGCTCCTGCTTGCTGGCCGTGCTATCGCCGCAGCCGGTGGCGAGAACGAGTTTCGGCTGTCGGGTTGGGGGGTCGGAGGATCCTTCGAAGAGTTGGAGGCACCGAAGGAGAGGCGGCTGACACCAGACTCGTAGGCGTTGGGGACTGACGACGCCACTGACGCTTGCGAGCTGCGCTTGCGACCATTCCTCAACGTAACTGAGCTGGGTACGTGTCCTGAGCCGCTGCTGCCTCGTGGGCTCGCTCGGGGTGGCGTACTCGTTGGCGCAGGAAGCTTGGATCGTGCTGTTTGAACTCGTTCTTCGAGCTTCTGCATCTTACCTATCAGCCCCCGAATCTGATAGAGCGAGCCTGACCTGGGAAACCCCGATGATGTAGACGCGCCAAGACTTGGTCTGGTCTCTCGCGACCCTGTCACAGTCGGCCGTAGGGAGGGCGTGGCCCGCCCACTGGCAGCTGAACTGGGTGGCCGTGACGATCCCGACATGCTAGGTCCTCGCGAATGTCGCGGCGCCCGTGAGTACATACCGGCACGAGGTGTAGTTCCAGGATCCTGCGGTACAACAGAATTCTTTCGTCTGGACATGGGCGTCGAAGGAACGAGTTTGGTGGTAATGGGTGCGTCTGAGAGCGGCGGAGATGGTGGGGTTGTGTCCGGGTGGAGGACATCTGCTATCGAGTGCGGCGGGGTCGAGCCGGCTGTGGGCGAGGAAAGGGTAGTCGCAGACGTTGACGCCTCAGAAATCGGCGAGCGTGGTCGCAAAACGTCACCAGCAAGGTGGCTAGATACCTTGCGCTGGTGGTGGTGTTCGATGGTTTCTTCTGCTATGCGCAGTTTTTCTTGTACGATTTCCGTCTCGATGCGCAGGTCGGTCAGTTCATCACGTAGTCGCTGTGTTTCTATACGTAGTTGCTCTCGCTCCTGTTCTCCAATCTTAATCTCCTCTTCAAGCATGACGCCGCGTTCAATAGCCACGTTATACTTGGATTCGACATCTTCAAGCGATGACGTTTGGTTGCGTGCCTGGCGCTCGAAATCGTCGCTTTGCACCTCAATGTCTCGGAGTCGCATCTGCAGCGCGCGTTGGCCCTCGCGCAAAGCAGTAATTTCCTTTTGCAGCGTGTTTTGCGCATTGTTGGCTTCGGCTTTGCTTTGCTTGTACTTTGTCTATGGTCGTGTTAGCAATTGGGCCTAAATGACGGAAATGCGCCTTGCTATGACCCCCCCGAGCCACATACCTTCCACTCCTCGACCTCAAAAACCAGTTTCTCTGCCTTTTCTTGAAGTTTCCTCTCGCGCTTTTCGCTCTCTTCGATGTCGCGTTCTAGTTCGGCCTCCAGTTCCTTGCTGGAAGTCTGGAACTCCTGCAGCTCATTTTCCAGCGTCTCGTATTGTGTCTTGTAGTAGATTAATTCCTCTTCCGCACTTTTCCACGCTCTTCTCTGCGCGGCCGGAGAGGAGAAGGGCTTGTCGACGACTCCCATGGTTGCTGCTGGGACGTGGCGGTGGACCGCAACCCAAGCTCAGGGGAATGTGTGAGGCGGGGGGCGACGGCGATGCGGCGAGATATAGATGAGTGAGTGCTGGTGTATGCATCCACGGACGCTCACGGCATAGAGGAGGCCTGCAGCTTGAGGCACGCGCGAGTGTTGTTTGTGTCTTTGTTGCCGGAAATGGAGGATGCCGCTTTTGTCGAGCACGGTGTGATGTCGCCGGTCATGCGCCGCAGTCTGTTGAGGCGGGCTGCGTGGCGCTTGACGCTGGCTGTGCGGGCGTTGTAATTTTCGACCTGTGCCTGTGTATGGTTAGTGGTTAGTAGGCCGCTGGACGGCGGCGTGCAGTGTTGTGCGTCTCCAGCGGTGGGTTGTTGATGGATGCGCTGCGGGCGCGGAGCCCGATGGTTAGCGCACTGGCCTCCCAGGGCAACCGCGGGCAGGAACGACCAGCCACCCACTGGGTATGACACATGCAGCCTACCGCGGCCACACATCCCCACATCGACAACGCATCAAGCGACAACACAGTGGCCAGACTCCGTCATCACAGCCAGACGGAATACAACCGTTGGGATGCTCGACATGACTTCCTTGTATCAAGGGGTGGCTGGGGCTTGCTTCACCAAAAAAGCAAGATATTCTGGTCAAAATTCAAATCCCGCATAGCGGCGAGATGCCCACGGTTTCAGGTTGCGCATGACTTAATCAATCCTTCCACCCGCATTGCTATTACAAGATTGCTAAGTACAAAGCCTTCAAACTCGACGCAACCCCTAGGGACGAACTCCTCCTCCTCCAAAGTCCGACCGTGGATGCTAAGATAAAAATAAAACACTCCGGGTGTGTATACGGGCTCGTGACCGCCACTCGCTTTGTGACTCACTTGGCCATGTCTTTGTCGGTACCGTCAATGTCCTTGACCCTGCTATCCGTAATGCCATCTGCCACCTGTTGTGACGCGTCATCCACCCCATCCCTTACAGTTTTTGCGACATCTTCAACGTGTTGCGAACTGCTCTTGAGGGCATTCTTAGCTGTTCGTGAAGCTGTCTCTGCTACTTCTGCGCCTTTCGAATAGACGCCTGCAACTTGCTCCTTGCCCTTCTCTACGATATCCTTGGCCGATTTGGTCACATTATCAGCAGCTTCCATGCCTTTATCCTTGCTATGGACGTACATGTCTTGTACACCCTCCGAGGCAGACTTTGCGATTTCTTCCGGACCGGGGTACTTGCGCAAAGCCTTTTGCAGTGTGAAATACAGACTAATGATGACTGAATGGATATGGTCCTTCATCAACATAGTGATGCCGTGCGAGAAGAAGCCTTTGAGCACTTCAGCGCCCAAGCCTTCGTACAAGGCTCTTATGCCTTCAGTCTGTGCAATCCGGAGGATAGTGCTGAACACAGTCCGCTGTCTGGCCTGTAGGGCTTTTGAATTGACAGGCTCCGCAGACTTCTCTCTATCGGAAGTTTCCCCCCTGCCTGATAGAGGCTTCTGTGCAGACACTTGTGCTCGTGCCTTTGCAAGACTGAATGGATACGTTACGGTCGAGGCCAAGGCCTTGCTAATCGCTGCAAGGAGGAAGGTTAGACGTCCGCCCGGATCACTGCGCTTCGCCCTCGGCACTACCAATCGCAGCAGAGCCTTGTGTAGCAGCATGGTGATAGAAGGGTTTAGCGTTAGGATCAAGCTGGCTGAATATCCTGACCAAAAGCCCTGTATGCCCTTCTCACGCCAGATTTCAGATGCAATATCTTTGGTGCTCAGCGGAGGAGGCGGGTCGATCGTAGAGCCCTGGTTCATCATGGCGGCCGTTTGCTTGCGTGTCACGACTTGCTGAAGAGGTGTGCTGATCAGCTTGGAGAATGCGCCTGCAATTACACCAACGCCAATCTCCTCCAAGGCTGGCAGGTTGTGACTGCTGCCTCGCGCACTGAGTCTCTTTTCGCGCACATACGAGTACGCTAGAAAGAACAGGAAGCTATCCACGACACCCTTGAATGTTTCATGGACACAACCACTGTAGAAAGCCTTCAAGCCACCCTCTCTTTCGTACACCTTGAGAAAGGCATCGACCACACCGTCGTAGTGGGGATGCTTCTTGCCATGCTGCAGCTGCCGTTGGACTTGAAGACGTGTTACGACCAAATCCACAGGATATGTTATGAGTTTTGATATCGCGGATCCTAGAGCACCAGAAGTGGCATGACCGAGAGCTGGCAGTGCAGGGCCGATGGCGTTGTGGGTGTTGTTTTCTTGCGACACGTGGTAGAGCGTGAATGCATCCTAGGGCCCGGCATTAGTTCATGCGCGACACTGTACTGTGCAGGCTAGACGCGCTTACCAGCTGCGAGTTGTAGATGAAGTTTATCTTGTCTGGGGTATTGTCTGCCATGTTGACTATAGAGAGGCAGAAGTTGACAAAACGATGCGAGAGCAGCAATTAAACACCATAAAACGCGGGGAAATCAGTAGCCCTCTTGCGGAAACGAGTCCGCATGGCGTTGGCCGTGTCACCAGTTAGCGACGTCATTTGGAAGCGTTGACGTTCGGATGAGGCCAGAGCTCCAGTGGATACTAGCCGAGCTAGTTTGGGGGACGCCTTTCGCTTGTGAAAACCTCTCGACAGACGTGCCACAACAACACCATACAAACACCAACCTCGGCAGTCGACTCGCGTCCTGCGCGCGAGTCTACATACATGCCTTACTCAATCTAGTAGGATGATTTTGAAATACTTGCTGGGTATACAGTGTGTGTTGTAGAGTACTAGGTCTGCAGCAGATCAACGCGCGATGCAGCAGCATGCCATCCAATTCTGCTGGAAGAAAATACAATTACGGATTCCAAGAGCAATGCTCAGAACACGGAGTACTCAAAGGGACTGCGAGAACTCCTCGAGGGTATTGATCGCAGTTCAAAGTATCCTCCAAAAGTAAGCAAAGCTGGTGGTTGAGAAAACGTGGAAGGACTCGTTCGCGAGGAGGACATCCATTGTTTCGCCGCTGGCTACATTACAAAATACTCTATGCTTCTTTTGTCACAATCTGCAGAAGAGTGTTTCTGAAGAGACATGCTCAAGGCAGTGATGAATAGTACAGTGACCCTGCCTCCTACTGGCGTTCACTGAGGGTATGCCGCATGAATAACTTTTTTCCATATGTAGTTGCGAGACACTAACTCAGCTTCACAACACCTAGTTCTGTTCATGAAACGATTCATTAGTGCCGCTAATACATTATCTAGCTTTACGGTTTCTATGCGCTGGGCTCCTCCACACGGCCATGAAACCTTACAGCTCTGATCGTACCTCCTACGAGCACCCGCTATGAGTCCACAACTCATTTGCTACGCACGACATGGGAGTGATGGTACTGGAAAAAGCTCAATCTGCATAAAGGACAGACAAACGTATATGCCTTACAATCTTCCAATCAAATTGTAGCTCTTGGACCACGCTGAAAGCTTCTCATTTGCTTCCAACTCATTTATGTCAAACTTCAAGCATAACATGACAAAGGAGCTTGGGAAGAGCCTCTGAAGCTTTGAAATATCGGATCTCAGCAATATATATCAATGGATATGCCCCTTATCGTCTGAATGCTCATGGTTCGGATCCTTATGATCTGCATTGTTGAGCTCTGGATAAATGTCATAGAATCCAGGGAAAGTAGTAAGGATCTTCTCCGGCCCAGCTACTTTTTTGTAGTTGGCAGCAGCATTGGATAATCTGTGCTTGTACGCCCACTCGCGGGTTGCGTCAAAGTTGTGGCACTTGTGGCGCCTCTCAAAGTCTGGCAGTGTCCAACCTTCTCTGTCGATATATACCATCGGTAGGAAGGTTACATCCGAGAGGCACATCAGCCGCTCTCGGAGAGCGTCGAGGCAGTGGTCTGGAATGCCCGTCAGTAGTCTGGACCGAGCGTAAAGATGAGACAACCAGCGAAGACTTACTCGTGTGCGCCTTGTGAACCGAGAGCTTGGGATGTTGCTCTTGATGGGTGGCGTACCAGTCGCGGTTGTACCAAAGGTTCTCGCGTAGTGTGTCCTAGATGTCGTATTAGCTTTCTGAGGCGCTTCCTCTAGGCTGGCCTGGGTGACCTACAAGACAGTGGATCTGGTGCATTACATCGAGCGAGACCAGAAAAGACTCCTCTTCGGCTACACCCTTTGGAACTGTGACATGGCGTTTGATGTCCAGATCATATTTGTGACCCTCGGAAACTGGGATCAAGAAATGACCCGCTGCGAGGACAAGAATCAGTACTTCAGATGGAATATTATAGAATATTAACTGACTTACAATCTTGGCCGAGAGTCATCCACTGTTACGAACCTAAGGAAGGGACAGCCAGAAGATAAAGGAAGAATGAAGGAAGAAGCCCATGTCAAGGCCTCACGAAGTAACAAGAACATATAGACCAATGACGCATGAGCGCCCCGCGTCCCACGGTCTTGGCGGAACGC